ATTGTTTTACATATGTACTATTCTAATTAATTTTGTATTACTTTTATATTTCAACAAGATCTAATACCAATTTTTTCGTACAAAGTGAAAAAAGAGAAAAAATTATATTTGTGAAATGGACAGTCACATAGCGTAAGTTTTTTTTCCCCTTCAGGTGCGTATTGGATAAACCCTCGAGCTGACGCAACATAATGTAAGTTTTTATTATTAATATGTTTGGCGCAAAAGAACTTCATCGACTTATATTTTCAAACATTAGATGACAGAAACTTGAGAATAAAATCAGCTAACTGTTACACTTGCAAATAATCCAATCAACAGGGAAAAAAAAAGTTAATTTGTCGACTAATTTGTTCCCTTTGAAGGGAATGATGCATCACGATCTACCATCAATAAATATAGATAAAAATATATAAAAAAAAAAATCGGAATTGAAAATCTAATTACTTGAGACTTTGTTGGATAGCAATGGTTTTACTCCATTATAAAACCTATTCCTTGTAATTAAAAATTAGATAAAAGTTATGATTTCTATGAAATGTATGAATAAATATAGAATTTGGTCAGCGACTTAAAGCACTTATGAGCTTTATATTGATATCATAGTTTTTATTTGTTACGCCATATTTTAGTTGCAGTTAAGTTCCTCAATTTTTGTTTGTTGCAGAAATTATTTTCTTCATTTTTTTCGTTGAAATCTTATCTTCAACCTTCCATTAATTAGTATATCTCATCCTTAATGATATTTTATGTCAAAATATTTTGTTTTTATGATTTGAGAGAAAAATATTTTTTCGTACTTTTTATTTATTCTTTTAAAACATGATAAGAAAATAAGTTGTTATACACTATTTCAATGGAGTTTTTGAATATAAATTGTCATCAAATACAAAATGTGTTAATTCTATAATGAATAAAGTCTGAAATTTGAAAACTTTAAGTATAAGTGGTACGAGAAATAAAATCTGTGGTATGAATATAATTTTATTACAATCATTCTATAGAAATGTCATAAATGAAGGATTTTTCTTAATGAAATTTACTTCCTTCTTTTCTCCATTAACGGCTGTCAACTTCATGTGGCTCTCTTGTACTATAAGACTCTAAAAAAATAATAATAAAACAGTCCAATTTCAATTTACTGGATATTTCTAGTATGCCGTCAGTTATATTGTACTTAAAATTAGGCTCAACCATTTTTTTTTCTTTTCTTTTCTTTTCGGGGGTGGGGGTACCCTTGATAATTGATCTAGAGCTTGTTTGGTACAGTTAAAAAATTAATTAAAATCAAATTTTTTATCGTTATTTCATTATTATAATCATTATTTTTGAATTCTTCTCTCACATATAGGATCCACTTTATTTCTAACGGTCAAAAACTCAATTATCAAAATTCCTACCAAACAAGCACCTAATATATGGATTGATTGTTAAACCAATATAACTATTAATTAGTTTTGTTGTACTTAGATTGAGTTTTCTTTTTCTCTTATCCCAAATATATAGACATGTTCTCTAATTTAGAATATTTTGGTTTGTTATTCAATTTTCCTCATTTAATATGTCAATTTCTTGAAATTATCCAAATACACACATTTTCCATTTTTTGGAAACATGAAACAACTCTTATTTCTTCTTCTTCAAATTAAATCATTCAAATTCTTTACTAATTTCAATAATAATTTACTACTACATACTTAAAATTAAATAGGGTAAACTATGAAAGATTTTGACAAAAATTAATTTTTCAATAACATTAAAGAAGATTTTCTAAGCCGTGTGTGAAAAACGAAATAAGCCTATATAATTGGAACGAATCGAGTAACATTTTAAATTTTAAATGTGAGTCTTATCTCTTCAATTTAAGATCAATTATTCATTATTTAAGGATACTTAATAGAACAGTCAGATTAATGCTTCGCAAAAATGAGGTTGAATAGCACGTTTAGAACCCCACCCCATGCCACACCTACCCCATAAATACACCTTATTTACAAAATCTATTAAAAATTATAACATAGATCTTATCTCTATGAATGCATGCTATATATCAGTTGTATATAAAGACCCAATAATAAAGCTAGTAACGATTTAAGTTGTGTGTTTTTCTCTCTGTACTCTCTAAATTTACAGTCAGCAACTGAAAAAAAGGAGAAAATCCATGGAGAAGAATATGGTTGTTCTATATCGATATATAGAGCCTAAAAATTTGTTAATTTTCTTCACTGTACCTCTATTTTTCTTGTTTCTTGTATCGAGATTTCGTCGAAAACCCTATCCACCAGGGCCTAAAGGGTGGCCGGTGGTAGGTAACACAGGGATAATGGACCAACTTACTCATCGGGGCCTAGCGAGACTTGCAAAGAAATATGGCGGCATCTTCCACCTACGCATCGGATTCCTACACATGGTGGCAATATCGAGTCCCGATATCGCCCGCCAAGTGTTACAAGTCCAAGACAACATATTTTCGAACCGTCCAGCCACTATTGCCATAAGTTACTTAACCTATGATAGGGCTGATATGGCATTTGCTCACTATGGACCGTTCTGGCGGCAGATGAGAAAGCTCTGCGTCATGAAACTATTCAGCCGCAAACGGGCCGAGTCTTGGGACTCCGTCCGCGACGAGGTGGACGATATGGTCAGCCAGGTGGCGGCAAACACCGGTTCTACCGTAAACATCGGCGAGTTAGTCTTCGGCCTCACTAGAAACATCATCTACCGGGCAGCTTTCGGTTCGAGTTCACATGAGGGACAAGATGCTTTCATAAAGATTTTGCAAGAATTTTCCAAACTTTTTGGTGCTTTTAACATTGCAGATTTCATTCCATGGCTTGGTTGGATGGATCCACAGGGCCTAAACAACAGATTACAGAAGGCTCGTGCTTCACTTGATAAATTCATTGATTCAATTATTGATGAACATATGCAGAAAAAGAAGCACAATGATGCGGTCGAAAACGATATGGTGGATGAGTTATTAGCTTTTTACAGTGATGAAGCCATTGTTACAGAATCAGAGGATTTTCAGAACTCCATCAAACTTACTAGAAATAACATCAAAGCCATCATAATGGTACGTATGAAAATTAATTATTTCTTTTATTATTTTTCATGATTTTGTTTTAGATTAATTGTTCAGTTATGTTTTCATAAATAAATGTTTTTCTTATGGGGTTTGGTCGGATAAAAACAAAACAAGTAATTATATATTTATTAATATGGTTTGATTTTACAAGTTATTACCTGTTACACTGCATCGTCAAGTTGTCTGATTGTCTGTTTGTAATTAAACAGCGACACATTATATGTTTTGGGAGGGGAAAAAATTCATAATTATTTCGTTTTGGTGTTCTAATTGAATTGGAAAGGAAATTAATTGAGTAACAAACTTGATGACCAAAGAGAGAATGATATGATAACTACACAAAGTTCTCACTTTTTGCACAAAATCATTTCATATTAATTGCATAGGTGTTACTCTAAA